TGGCGGTATCATATTCTGTCTCAACTTCATTCTTTTGGCCTTCGTGGGAATCTCCCTCTCTTCCTCCAGAGTTTCCTCTCTTGTCGTTCCTTTCGTGTGCGGCTTGGTACCTCTCTCTCTGCCCCTTTTAGGCAGTATGAGAGTGCATGTACCCCAGGGTAGTGTTCTGAGCACTACTCTATTTCTAGTTGCCCTCAACGGTCTTCTTTCCTCCCTTCCTTCTGGCGTCTTCTCCGCTCTCTATGTTGACGATCTTACCCTTTGCTGCCAGGGTGATGATTCGCCTCTCCTTCAACGGCGGCTTCAACTTGCGATGATGCCGTGTCGTCTTGGGCCACCGATCATGGCTTCAATTTCTCTGCGTCTAAGACTTGTGCTATGACATTTACTCGGAAGCATGTTGTTCTTCGTCCCTCTTTGTCGCTATATGGTCATCCCCTTGTGTACAGGGATTCCGCTAAGCTTTTGGGGTTAATCTTTGACACTCGTTTGTCTTGGTCGTCCCATATCTCTTACCTCCGAGTTGAATGCTCTATGCCCTAAACCTACTTAAGGTTTTGTCCCATACTTCTTGGGAAGCGGATAGGCGCACGCTCCTCTATTTGCACTCCTCTCTCGTCCTGTCTAAACTAGATTATGGTTGCCCTGCATACTCTTCTGCTTCTCCTTCTACTCTTCGCCGTCTTGATGCTTTACACCATACTGGGTTGCGTCTCAGCTCTGGTGCCTTTTGTTCGACTCCCGCCCTCAGTTTATATGTTGACACTGTCAACATATAAACTGTCATATCACAAATACAACACTGTCTCTCAACCAGTTGAAGATAAAAATATACATTTCCTCCCTCACAAACATACCACATAGTTTACACTTCGTGTCATTACCATGAACATCTATCCCATATTCCCTGTAACCCACCTCACTCCTTTATTGTCAACCCATGTCTGTTATTTTATTTTTAATATGGGTTTTTTTTTTTAATCAACACTGTCATTTCTGACCTATTGTATTTGTGCTGCTTTTTCAGTCACGTTTGGCCAAGTCATCCGCCACCTAAAAACATTTTTGTCGTCATGACGTACTTCCTCCAAACACGCCAGAATGGCCTGCAGTTCAGCTTGTGTGGATGATATATAATTACTAAGCCGGAGTTCAATTATCCTGTCCACAGTCCCAAACTCCGTATAATCCCTTATTAGGACACCACACCCTGCCCTGCCATCTTCCACCACCGACCCGTCGCAATATACATGTAAACTGTTGCCTCTTGGTAACCGAGATATCATGCTTCCATACAAACACCGTAATTGTCCCGGTTCATGATGAATCTTTTTCACCTTGAGGGGTACAATTTCGACGTCTATTTTCTGTACTTTCCAGGGAGCAGACATATTACATTGTCGAGAGGGTTTACAGCAGTCAAGTACGTCGTATTCCCTGAGGTCATGAGCTAATCCTCTCGTATATAGCGTGTCTCCCTCAGTTTCCTGGAAGTGTGTACGTCACTCAAGCAGGTCTGAACGCTCTCAAACAGCTTATCCCCTCCTTTTCTCCGGTTCCACACCATTTAGAGTAAGTGTTATATTTTTCGTTTATCTTTATTTGTATTTGTTTTTCAACATTTATTTAAGCCTAACTTGTGACAATTTGTACCAAGTATGTTAAGAGCATCTTGTTTTTGTTCCCAGAAGTGCCTTGTATAAGAATGTCATCAGCATATATGATCGTCGTACGTGACCCCTGGAGGATACATCTCGCTAATCTGTTCATTAATACATTGAATAAGGTGGGACTTAATACTCCCCCTTGTGGGGTACCTAACTGAAACCTCCGTTCCTCAGACATGTATCCCTGGTAATACACCTGACCTTTTCTGCCTTGTAGATAATCCCTTATCCAGTGTAGCAATCTCCCTGTTATTCCCAGATTGGCTAATTCGTATAAGATTACTTCCCCATTGGCTTTATCAAACGCTCCTTGTAGATCAACAAAAACTCTACAATTGTCATCCACATTAGACAAGCACGTTAAGAGACAATCCGCAGTACTTTTGCCTTTGATAAAACCAAAGAGATTACTGGACATGTTATCACCTACAAGGTAGAGTAGCCTATTTAACAAAATCCTTTCCATCATTTTACAAAAGCAGGATATTAAGGAGACAGGTCTGTAGCCACCGTTTGACTTAGGGATAGGAATGATGACAGCCTCTTTCCATTTTCTTGGTAACTTTCCCTCTCTATAACTCATATTAAACAAATCAAGTAAGGGATTAGGTTTCATACCGGCTAAATAATTAAGTATGTCATACGTTACTCCATCTTTTCCCGGAGCAGTGGAACTGCCACTTTTTATAGCATCCAGTAGCTCATCGTGGGTTATCTCAGTGCATGTTATAGATCTTGTATTTAAGGCACATAAAGTTACTCCATTTCTAATATTTTCCCATGACTCAATGGTGACTCTCGTGTCTGCAGGTAAGGACTCCATACCAGCAGCACTTGCCCATTTATCTACTAACTCATTAGCAACTTTCCCTGGATCTGAGTGAGCAATGAATTTGGTCTTACAACCCCTGACTTTATTTACTGCTCTCCATATGTCTGTAAGGTTCTTAGTATTACCAATGGACTGAGCAAAGTCTTGCCAGTATCTGTTTGTATTTTTCTCTTCATCCCTCATTCCATTTTTTAACCATGCTTTATGCGCACTCCGTAGCATTCTCTCCCATCCCTTGACTTGCTGATCATTGGAATATTTAAATTTCTTAGGTCCGTGCGTCTTGCTTCCCCTGCCCCCGTTATTTTCCCTCTGTATGTACTAGCTCTATCTATATATCAATCCATTAATGTAACATCACTTGTATGTATGTACCTTACCTGAATAAAGTAACATATTTATATTTATTTATATTTCAATATCATTTCCCATCACATAACAATGAACATCTGTAACCCTGTTTCTCAAACCATTAACATTCCATGACAACACTTTCAGTCTAGGGTGATCCATTATTTATATTTAAGTCATCCCCAATAAGTTCATACTGGCTTCCTCTCTCTCCAGGACCGCCGTGATCGCTGTCTTCTCTATCTTGCGCGGTCCTTAATTACATCCTTCCTCTCGCCTCTGTCGTGCTTTAACTTTTACCCCTCCTGTAGTTCCTGTTCCTCTTCATCGTCTCCCTCTTTCTGTCCAGTTATTTCACTTACAGGATTCCCTTTCTGTTTGTATTTCTAATGTTTCTCCTCGTATTGTTCCTTCCTTGCCTCCGTGGAGAGTCCCTCTTCCAACGTTTTGTACGTCCCTGACCCGCATCACTAAAGCTTTTACCCCCCTATGGTTCTGAAACGCCTTTTCCTTGAGCACCTTTCTTCGCACTCCCACTATTTCCATCTTTATCGATGGGTCAAGTCTGCGGACGGTGTGGGTTACTCTGCTGTTTTTCCTTACCGCACTTATATGTGTCAGCTCCCTTCGGAGGCTAGCATCTTCACGACAGAACTTTATGCTATTCTCTGTGCTCTCCGTCTTTTGTTCTCTCATTGTCATTCCTCCTTTGTGAATGTAGTTGACTCTCGTAGCTAGTGCCCTCATGGCTCTAGGGTCCTTTAATCCTGTCCATCCGGTGGTCATCGAGATTCAACATTGGCTGTTTCTTATTTCTAGTAAATTTAAATCAGTAGCGTTTTGCTGGGCTCCCAGCCATATTGGTGTTTCTTTAAATGAGCGTGCAGATGCTGCCGCTAAGGAAGCTATCCATTCTTGTCCCATCTCCCATAAAGGTATTCCTTATTCCGACTTTTATCCTGTTATTCATTTTTTTGTGAGATATATACAAGTGTTGTTACATTCTTGTACAGCCACTAGTACGCGTAGCGTTTCGGGCAGGTCCCTGGAATACGATCCCCTGCCGCGAAAAATCGTTTTTTCATCCAAGTACACATTTTACTGTTGCGTTAAACAGAGGCTACAGTTAAGGAATTGCGCCCAGTAAATCCTCCCCGGCCAGTTTCCTCCATCCTTGCCCATTGGCAGGGTTGTTGGTCCTCTGTAGTTGGTAACAAGCTGCGTACTCTCAAACGTAGTGTCCCCGTGGCCTTCCTCCTACCACCTAACCGGCGGTGGGAAACTGCTTTAGCAAGGTTGCGGATTGGCCATACTCGCTTAACTCAGTCACTTAATGGAGCGCCGCCCTGCTCCTTATTGTCCAAATTGCGTTGTTCTTCTTACAGTTGTGCATATCCTTGCTGAATGTCCTGCCTTCCAGGACGAGCATGTGTCTTGCTTTCCGACCGTCCCTCGATAGAATTCTTGGTGATTCAGATACTTTTGATGTCGCTTACCTTATGCGTTTCTGTTCTCGTATTGACATTCTAAGTGATACTTAGCGCCCTCTGATTATTTCGCACATTGACGGTGCTACATAGCCTTCCCAGTTTGGTGCCTCCTTTTGATAATTACCTTACCTTCGTGAATCTGGCCCCAGGAGCCCTGGGTCAGAGTCCAGGCAGCAGGGACATTGATTCTCAGAATTATCAAAAGGTGCCTCAGTGCCTCAGACCAAACCCCATGCAAAGTTGGGTGAGGCTAGCCCAAAGCATCTGGCCTCCAACTTTGGGGGAGAGAAAAAAATAAGACATTGAAGGGACCGATAGAAAGTCTTTTCTAGTAAAATATTGATGCGTGTTTATATAAAATGTTGGATTTTCTGTATTAATCAGGGTTGGATTGATAGCTACCCACTTACTAACCCTGGTTGGGTAATTAAAACTTTAAAAAGCATTTTTTTTTACTTTAATTTGGCCCAACTTAGTTATTTCTATTTAAGTTAAAACTTTCAATTATTTAATCTATTGATTGAATAAAAACTCAACCTGCCCCAACCTGGGTGGCTTGGGCTTTTTTTTTTTTTTTTTACCAATCCTAGTATCAACACACTCAAATCATATTAGATGCAAGGTCAAAGTTGTTGAGAAGGTTAAGACAAATTTCTGAAAGCAACTTCAAATATAATCATAATATAATTTTAAGTTGTAGGTGCAGCATTAAAACATATAAGGTATTTTATAGAACAAGTTATTTCAAAACTTTCAAGAAGAATGTCATAATTCAGAGACCTTATATAAACTTGCTAAATTTCCATGATATTTTCCTCTGCAAAATGCATACAGGACAAAATTTCAAGTTTAAATATTCTTTATATTAAATCTAAAAGCACAAATATCTTAAAAATATGGAAATATGGTTATTCAAAATAAAGGTTACTCCATGATATCAAGGCATGAGTACCAAATTTTAAAGAACTAATCAAAATTGTGAACTAGAATGTAGTAACTATAGTATAAAAACTATAGAATATAAAATAAATAATTTAGAGATTATAAATACAGTACTGTAATGATAAAAATATCGTTTTTTAAAGTGTGCAATAAACATGATGCAAAATAAGTATCCATAGCAGCCCTTTTTGCTTAAGATAGATGCCATTAAACTGTTACTTGTGTTCTATTAATGCAAAGTCTGTATTTATGATTGACAGTAATATTCTACCTTTGCCTCAACATTAATCATACAGACCTAAGAGTAAGAAATCAGCATTTGATTTGTGCCAAACACCTCGAAGGTTTACAATATTCATATTGTTTTCTTTACATGAATGTAAACACTACAATATTAAATGTTGTTTGGTTCCTCCAAATGAATGTATAATCAAAAGAACACTTATGAGACAAAGCTGTATCTAGTGCTAACTTTAAGGAAATATTAGTGCTGCCAAACAAAGAAATAATGATAATATGGCCATCAAAGGCTACCCAACTTAAATATTGTACACGTATTCTAATTTTGCGTCTTTTCAATGGCATGCTAACGGCTTAATAGGCTAAATGTGTGTGGTTTATCTACTAACGCTTTTGAGTAGCAAATTCCTTTTCATATAGAGTAAAACCTATCAAACACAAGATGTATCATTTACAAAGGATATAGTAAATATGGTTATTCTATGCACAAAATATATAAAGTTGGATTTAATAGAGAGAACTGTATTCACGGGGGTTGTCCACACATGTGACAAGCTCAATATTTTCCTACAACATAGAGAATTATGTTCTTTAAAACCACAAATTTGAAAACATCTGCCAGAGGATAACCTTAAATTGCTCAATATACATTACCATTCATATAAATCTTTTGTTATCCAATGCAGTCAAAATTAACCTCATTTTCTTAAATGTATAGGAACATAATTCCTGAGGTCAATGTGTCCTTGTTTGCCTAAATATAAAATAATTTTCAACTAGTATTTCTATGACTTTGTGTAGTGATACCTTGCTTAAATTGAAATCCAGAACAATTACAATATGGTTAGTTTCTTCTATTAGATAAATCAGATTTGTGGTGCCAATGCTCAAACTATTTTTAAATTAAAAATTTATTTTCCCACAATGAGGGGTTTGGTGAAATATTAAAATATTGACTAAATAATTGTTCTAATATCTACAGTAATAAAACAGGTTAATTAAGAAAAAATCTAAAAATTGTCTAGTTGCATCAGAAATCTGGATGCACTGTAATTGGGTCAGAAACCATATTGTATAGATAGTCAAGATATTAGTGTATAGCAACACTTATTATTTAGAGAGGCAAATTATATATGAATTAAGTTTTTTCAATTTACAAAATCTTTTTAAAACAAACACACTTAAATCAAAACTGTTAAATATTTTAGAACTAATACACATGGCAAATATGGGTGAATGACTTAGAGCCAACAGTATACATACGGTACATTAAAAGTAAGACAAGACACTGGAAACTACTAAATTAAGATTGAGTATAACGTCCCCATGAAAGTCAGAAATGGGGTAATGATGGTGTACATAGAGATAATACATAACTTAAAGTTTACATACAAAAAAAAAAAAGCTAAAATGCATTTTGTCGTACCGCAAGAATGTATAAAACCACTGGCCATATCAACAGTAAGCATTCTATATCACCACTTTAAAATAGACCCTGACAAAATCATAAATGTTTCTTTAATTTAATTTTACAATGGTCATCACTGTCAGTCAATTGTGCTTGAGCTGTCTCTCTTTAACTTCTCTATAATTCAGGTGTGCATCAGTCTCTGTTAATCTTACAAACTTCTGTTTTGTGTGTAACAGCAGCAATGAAAGACAAAATTAGTAAATTCTGTCTTCATCTTTACAAGCACCTAGAAAAACATGTGAATACATATTTGCAAAAGCCATGTTACAATACAGAATATCACTTCCTTTATAAGTAAATCACTAATTCTATCAGGGGTGATTAAAAGCTAGCTTAAACATTAGTGGCAGGTGCACTGTTGTCAAGAGCAGAGTACGAGTGTCTTTGGTTACTGTGAATGATGGGCGGTGTGGAAGCAGAGGCCACATTACCATCAACTGTAATCACAGTTGGGGAAGGCTGTTTGGGTGATGCTCGGGTATATACTGTCTCCTCCTCCTCCTCTTCCACTTGTGGTTGAGATACTGAAGGAACATTGATCTCAGCGCTGACAGTTGTTACCTGAAACATTTCATGAGACTACAAATGGCCTTCAATTAGCAAGCTTGCTTAGACTATTTAAAAAATTAGAGTTTTAGAAGCACTGTACTCAAATACCGATATGTTTAGACGCGTTAAATATATTTTTGGTTAAATTAAAAAATTAAAACTCAAACAAGCATATTCCCAATTATTTTAAATTACCAAGGATAAATAATAAAAATAAATAAGCAAAGTTAAGAAACACGAGAAGTCATGCATGTCAAAGGATAAAAGCAAAACTCAATCATCTAACCTGGAGAAAACATTGCAGCGGTAACTGCTATGTTTAAGGTTTTAACCTTCCACCTTCTTCCTGCCCACCCCCCTCTTCTAAAAAAAAAAACTACTCCAAACATGTAGTCATTATCATTTGCTAATCTAAACCACATAAGATTTCTAACTTTTATGTTTAGCTGTATGGATGGTCCTATGGATCACTGCACTTACCTTCCAAAACAAAAGAGTCAAGGGTCTGGTGGCATTGGTGTCTTTTCCAGTCAACACGTTTACAGCATATAGCCAGAATGCACTTTTGCATGCCACGGGAGGTATAGTGAGAAACAGAGTGGAGGGTAGCATCTAATACGGTATTGTGGAAAAGGAGGGCTTCAGGGAGAAGATCAGATCAGATAGGATGGAAAAAGTAGCATGGAGGGTGAAGACTCCAATCCACTTTATCAAACCGCCACCAAGGGGGAGAGAGAGAGAGAGAGAGAGAGAGAGAGAGAGAGAGAGAGAGAGAGAGAGAGGAGAGAGAGAGAGAGAGAGAGAGAGAGAGAGAGAGAGAGAGAGAGAGAGAGAGAGATTTGGGTGGAAAGAAAAGAGGGTTACAAGGATGGGGAAATGGAAAATTCCTTATGGAAATCATCAAGGACTTTCCACATCAGGTCAACATAAATGGAAGAGGACCAGAAAGATTAACACAGGAAAGGATGCAAGTGCGCGAGTTGAAACGTGTTGACTTGCCGGAACTCAGGAAAAGCAATGGAGTAAAAAGGATATGTTTGTAGAAGCCAGTCTCAGGTATTTGTCATAGCATTGTCACAGAGGGTATGCTGACAGCTAAAATCACCTAAAAGAAGTACAGGCGTGGGTAATGAGTCCAAGAGGTGTTTAAGATATGTTGGGAGGGGGGGGGGGGTTATCTTGAGGTTATCTTGAGATGATTTCGGGGCTTTAGTGTCCCCGTGGCCCGGTCCTCGACCAGGCCTCCACCCCCAGGAAGCAGCCCGTGACAGCTGACTAACTCCCAGGTACCTATTTACTGCTAGGTAACAGGGGCATTCAGGGTGAAAGAAACTTTGCCCATTTGTTTCCGCCTCGTGCGGGAATCGAACCCGCGTCACAGAATTACGAGTCCTGCGCGCTATCCACCAGGCTACGAGGCCTCTAAGAAAGAAATAATTAGGAGAACACACCAAGCCATTACAGCTATATAGCACTTGGAAGGGTTCAGGATAAGAATTTGGGTTGGGATTGGTGGAAGGAATGGTGCTCAACCCACTTGGATGGTCGGGGATTGAATGCCGACCTGCATGAAGCGAGACCGTTGCTCTACCGTAGGGGGGAAGGGGGGGGGGGGGAACGGGGGGGGGAAGGAAAGGGAAATAAATAGAACACACAGTACAGTATACCACTTATTCACAAAGATACAGGCAGTAGAGAATGGAACATTTGACTGAAAATGCAGTCAAATGCTGCTTTGTCAGCAGTCAGGGGAAAAAGAGAATACCATTCCGGATCAAGAGATGAGTTAGGGGTCTCTGCAAAAACTGGAGTGGAGAAGAGAAATAAGTAATCATGTAAATGACCAGGACAAGCACCAAGCATTGACTTCTGGAGACACAAGGTGATGAAAACTGAGATAAAAAGTTGGACTTCATGAAAATTAGCATAAAAGCCATGTATATTCCATTGAAGATTAGACATAGCAAAGAACAGAGATAACAGAAAAAAAGGAGAAAGAAAAATTAAGGAAAGAAGTGCACAGGATACTCGGAAAGATCAGGAGCAAGTTCAGAGAAATTAGGGTGGGAGACATTGCTAAACTCAAAGGTGCTCAAGTCGTTTAGTTTTATTACTAATTAGTCGTTTATTTATTAGTTTTAAAAGTTTGAGCCCTGGAGCCAAGTGATACCACCTACCAGGGCAGCAAAGGAGGGCTGAATCCTGGCCAATGCAATAAGTGTACATCATCCCAAGTGGTGCCCCTCTTAAACTGGGGTTAGCCCTACTGAATCGTAAATTTTCTTATACTAGTGCAATGACCTCTTTCTCCCTCTTGTCCCAGCTTGGACACCCAACCAGCCTCCTAGGATGGCCCCTCATGGGCGATTCCTTCAGCAGGTGGTTCGACGATCCAAATAGAATCTCTACATATATTTCATTTTGCATGTGCAATGCCCAAATAAGCATAGGAGAGGGGGGGGCCGATGCAATCCCCACCAACCCGAGAGTTGTATGTGAGCCTCCCCTCATCATGACAAGGCAAAACTTAAGGAAGACACAATAGTGAAGTAAAATTCAACTCACGTGAGAGGAATGGTTGAGGGGCCACAGGGCTAACAACACTGCAAACCAGGTATGACAGGGAAGATCTCATTGAAAGTTTTAAAATACTAAACACTTTGGAGGATGTTGACCCAGAAAATTTCTTCAAAAGGTCATAGATAACACAAACAAGGAGCAATGGTTTCAAGCTCAACAAGCCACAATGTAGGACTGAGAACAGGAGATGCTTTTTCACCCACAGTATTATAAACCGATGGAACTGCCTACCCGCCAAAGCCGTAAATGATAAAAATTTTAACTTTTAAAGTACAGCTGGAAAAGATCATCAAGGCAAATGGGGAGGAAACCTTCGACAAGCCGCCGGCTTCCTGTTCTCGTCGAGGCCACTAGTGTTAGTGGCTCTCAGGTACTCATGTAAAATTAAAATTAAGTACTAAACATGTCTTCCCCTCCTTACTCTGCCAAACAATAAAGACACAAGGAACACAACCCCACTAAGTTCAAAAAACAGTGTTGGTCTATTCAGAGGAATAGTGATGTGTTTGATACTAGTCACAGAGCAGCTGTCGCCAACCGCTAGTTCATGGACCACTGGTGGTCCCCCAGACAATTTTATTTGTGTATTGTATGTAACCGTGTATTTTCTTTAACAGTTATATTTAATAGCATCGAATAGTTTGACTTTAATAACTACCATTTCTTGTTTGTGGACCGTGGGATTCGCATTAATGGTCTGCAGGATTTAAAATTATGAATTTGGTGATCCGTAAGCTCCGAAAGGTTGGCGACCACTGACACAGAGTGAGTAGTCAGGCAGGCATACCCTTGGGCTACCTAAGATGCAACCTGGTGGTGTGCTTGGTTACTAGAGCATGGTTGACAATGAGACTAAGTTTCCTATACAGTATTTCCATCTGTTCTTAATTTAATCAAAATATGTACTGAAATTTGTTTTGTGTCTATACTTTCTGGTATCTTGGATCTCCTGCTTCCCCTCACCTCTATGAGACTATTGGATTCTGGTCCTACACAAGTCTAGAGACCTGATTGGTTTGTGAATACCTGTATTTCTGTGGTACTAAAGCCAATAACACCAGGGAGCTACTGAAGGCCAGTCCAGACAACAATGCAGTACTGTAAAGTAGCACATGACTCAAACTAATTAGGACTGGACCTGTTCTGTTTTAACAAGGATTTAATCTATTAAGTATTACACAATTTTTGTTTGCTATTTATTGCAGAATTATTGGTTTTTCAGAACCCACATAACAGAACACATTTGTGTGCATAGTCAACAAAATGATATAAAGTACAAGCAATGCATTTTAAATGTACTTTACAGTAAAATGGGCAAATAGAAAATTTTAAGAAAAGAGAAAATACTATTTTCCACTTACCTTGGAGAATGGCTAATTAATTCTTGTTAATCTGTGTAATCAGAATGTGAGTTTACAGTAGTGCTATATGCAATACAAGAACACTATAAAATGAGGGTATGGACCCCAAAGAAAACAAAAAATCCACATGAGAGCCTAGGGCACACCAAACCCTAGGTCCCCTAGGCACATACACGCCATCAAAACTAGGCAAACTTAGCAGTGAAGAAGCTACCCACAGGGAAGGCACCAGAAGAGTTCAGAATATACACAAAAAATGTACAGTACCTCAAAAGAATAATTAGAGAACAAGGCCTTTTCTATTTTTTTGTGTGACTGGGATATGAACCCATGACACAGAAAGGAGCAAAACATACAACCTGCAGCATTACAACTAGTGAAGCTGCAAACAGCACAGGCCAGCTTAGAATCAGCAGGGGAAACCAACCAAGAATACAAGAGAAACAAACCACCTGAACACAACAGGTACTGGCTGTCAGGACTATTATGCAATCAGGCAGGATTGCCAGTCCTAATGAAACTGTCGGGAAATCACACATCTAACCCCGACCCAATTAGCTTGGCACTGGAAGACTTGCACACCTAGCTAAAGCATAAAGCACCAAAATGTACATTAACAATGTCCAGTCACTATGAACACACAAGCACACAGCTAACTAGATCAACTTCTTAACAACAGGCCTTGCTGTAGAGAAGCTAGTTCCAAACACTACAGTACTTGCAGAAAAGATGACTCAAGAGAAAGTATCTCACATGGGAGAAACCTGAGCTCTTCAATAAAGGTACCTCTGGTGGAACAGAGGAAACACAACATAGGTACCAAGAAACATAACGCTACCATACAGCTGGAGCAAAATAGTATAAAGGTAACATGCAATGTAGGTGGAAATAAACACAACTGTGAATCAGAAATGGAGCAAAAATAAGACTCATTGCAGAACTATTATTCCAGGTACACACTTAACTGCACCAGGCAAGTGAGTGAGGGAGATGGCCGGCTAGGACCCAGAGTTACCTGGCCCACCATCTGGTGGCTGTATGGTGAATAAAGGTTAGGAGTTGTTTGCCAAAGGTAACTATCATCAGCCT